CCTACGTTGGACATGTAAATGTCCGCTGAGGCAAGCAATCTTATGGCCGTGAACAAGATGAGGAAGTGTTTATAATGCCCTGCGGGTAAAATGTCCTTCGTTTATATACTTGACTGCCTAAAGTTATATGCAAAGATGCATCAACTGAATAGATAAATTTTACTCTCTAAGTTGAACGCCTAAAGTTAAAAAATTAGTTTCGTCAATAAAAGAGAAAGACCGAATTCCACGAAACACCAGGAATAGTGGTCATCTTTACGTCCTCCTCGTGGCTAACTACTTTGCCTAGGTAAAGTCTCGGCCCCGAATATGGAGAGCGGAGGTCGTTAAACTTGTTTTATTTAGGGCCCCGTCATGGTTTTCCTATCTTTCATAAATCAACAAGTGTAACGACCTTTGATTTCCATATTCGGTGTCGAGACTTTGCCTAGGCAAAGTAGTTGGCCACGAGGAGAACGTGAAGATGACCACTATTGCTGGTGTCAATGTCGGCAAGCCGCCTTGCCTAAGAATCCACACGGATAACGAAATCCGGCAGTCAGCAACTCGGCTGCGTATAATGGGCGTGGGAGCTGATAGTCTTGATAGGAACAACGGAATAGCAACTGCATGACAAATGCATGCTTCAACACATGGCCAGTGGAGCCTCAATACACTCGGGAGCTCCTAACTCCGGTGGGCCTGTAGCCGCCCAGCAAGTGCATCCTATAAACGCTGCAACATCTGATCAATCCACCACGCTTGTCTGATTCTGCCTCTGATGATGGATTCGAGTGATATTCCGAGACATTTGGCAAATTAAGATCTGTTTCCAGCGCTCATGTCTCCATCTTCGTAGATTCGTTTTATTATGAGCCATCTCCGTCGGAGGTTGTAAATTCCCAGCAGTTGGTGTAGAGGTGTGTTATTTGTCCTCCGTTTGTCAATCGTTACTTTTATGTGCAATGTTGGATATTACCTATAGTCTTTTTCGATGAGTGTTAGTTCTAACTACGTTTGACTTTCATTAAACGTCTAACCCACACAGTCAGGCAAGTATTGCGACTAGCAGAACTGCATACATAGGTCGTTTTTCGAAAAGCTGCCTATGCATTATTGCTCAGTCTTGAGTCATAAATGAATTTGACGGTCATATAATGTCTAAACGACCTTGCTTAGGGACATACTGCTTACCACG